ACATGTCCCAACCAACGCAGCTTCTGGTGCTGGACACATTCTTCAATGGAAATACCCGTTGCACAACCGAAAACGAGCTTTCTAACTCCCTCATGACGGGTTCGCCGACACCAACCCACACGAGCTATGGTTCTGAGACGACGATTGTCGAACACCTGAAGACGTCTCAGGTCCGCTGTTCGAATAGGCCAAGTCTCGCAGGCAGTGAATGCAATGGGGAACCTCGAGTTCGGGGTACCTCGTTTTCCATTAGAATGGACAACGTACTAAAAACTACAGTATTTCTTCTGAAGGGGGATCGTTTACTGACCGTCTTTTTTCCTACCCGATCACTCTCGTGTTTCTTTGGAAAACCTGACGAATAACTGAATAATTCTATAGTTTTCTACAGAATTCCGATTCCCAGGAGGAAATCTGGTGGGCGATTGCGTGACTGTTAATTTCGGAAACACCACCACTCATGAACTAGAGAGATGAAAACGAGGGTTTGGTGGATTCAGTGATTACTTCTGTGTACCGGTGGAGAATCTGCTGACTACGTTTGGAAATGGCATCCTCAGAACACTTCATCATGCAAATGAGGCTTTTCTCGCCCGAATGTAAACGGACTACGGGAGTTTAACTGCACGGGGACTCGTGCAGGCTCTGGGAACAATGTTCTCGTTGTTGTGATTTAAACAGTGGTTTATTCTCTCTCTCTCTCTCTCTCTCTCCCGAAAAGATTATTTTCAGATGTCCATGTTACGAATATCTTGTTTCTACTTACGTCGCTTCCTGGTCATATGGAGCGCGCATGATAACTAAGCCGATCAAAAGAGGCCAATGGGATCATCTCTTGTAAGCAACTCATCTTCATGTTCTACATGCGAAGTTGGTTAAACGCCAGTGAGCGTCTGTTGCATCGATTAACTTGGTGACACACGTGATAGTGTGTTTGTAGCTAAGAGGTTTCTCAAACAAGCTCTCAGTTTGTAGTACATTTCCAGTCTACCGAGTCACGTGGGTGTAAAGCCTACGGGTTAATCTTTCGTGGGGTACTGTGCTCACGGCTGCAGATAGTAGGGGTATTTGATCGACGAAGCCTCCACTTTCATTTGTGTGCTGCTTTAGCACAGTTGAAAGTCGGTGTCGGACTGGAAGTGATTTTCTTTGTTGTCCATATCAATAAGAGAGATACTAGCGTGTTTTTTTCGCGCAGCACTTTTCGGATGGTTTGAGGTACAGCTGAGGTCTTCCAGTCGGTCAGAATCGCACCTTTTTTTAAAGAGTAACTTAAATGATGATTCCAATGCCTGTAACAAAATATTTTGACAACATCGGGGTTAAATAATGGAGACACCTGTTCCCTAATCCCTCGGGAAACTACATTATCTCAGTTTATAAGTGACCTAGGGTAGGCTGCCGTCTTAGCTAATGAATCCTGAATGATTTGAGCCACCTTCACAAACAGACTGCACCCTGCCAGGCTGTGACGATTGGCATACCTCCATAATCCATTGAATTATACAGGTAAGTACAGGTGTTGTGCTCAAAGAGCTTATCATACCGGATTGGTCAATAGGTAGAGGTTTGACTGACACAGGCTCTCGGTCATTCAGGTCGCAGGTTGTATCCTGTGTCCAGTTGCTCCATAAATTGTGCGTTGCTCCGACATCCTCAGGCCAAACACCACTGTGTTAAGGCGGGTTTTTGAACCAGAGGCTTTCCTTGAGGACTGAAATAGACCCCCTGCCTAGGTTTGGGCACCTTGGCAGTATACAAGCCCACGTACAATCAAGAATTACACATTTACTGATCTCATTCCACATCGACCATCGCGTAGCGCCATTGGCCGGTTCACCGTACTTGCTGCATATAACAGGGCCTGGAACGGAAAACGGGTCACTGATGACGACTTCTTGCTTCCTCGCTCACATACTTATGCTTCTCCACCTTATCTCGTTGTCAGGACTGACAGATCTATCTGTCGCCCATTGCCGCTGGCTTAAATATCTACAGTTGACTCAACCGCCAGACACTAGGAAATCAGTCTTAAAACCCGACGCACATTTCGTCTGGCATTCTGAAATGAGGTCGCCGACAGGCTACCCTTGATTGTTAGCAGGACTCACATTCTATTGATGTGTGCCATCATTCCGAAACGAGGATTCAAGATCCAAGCACGGTCGTTGAACTGACTGCCTAATCGCCTTCTACACGCTTCCCATTGCGCCCATTTGGTGATGAGTTTGGTATTGTTCTAAGCCACCGATCTGGAGGGTATCTGCTTGAATAGATGCTTGTTTCGACACTCGCTTCTCCGCGGTCCCTTTGGCAACGCCTGTAACACTTTCCCATAAACGCGCCGATAATCGCTGTCTGTTCGTCGTAACTATCTACGCTCCAAAAGTCTGTAGCTCTGATACTCTCAAATAGTCTCTATGATTCTTGAGTGCCTTATTGCTGCGGGCTACGAGCTCAGATGTCGTTGCGACTGATGGAAATATGAATGCGCATGCAGGTGGAATTCGCGCTGCTGAGGCTTAGTTAGGTGATTGTCCTTGATCGAGAGGCACGGACAACGGCGGGTGCCTACTACACTTATGTGCTCATTGCACACTGATTCAATGCAAGATAAACGAAACCACTTGACCACATGTTTGCCCACAAATGCGAGACAACATCCAACATAGATAAACCGCTTCGCTATTAGCTATAAGTGACTTGGACCATTTACTGATTGTCGTTAATTCGGGAACGCCTATATTGATTCGGACCACTTTCCTGTTCATTGACGCTTCTTGTCTCGCTTTTGAAGGGCGCGCAAGATATACACCTCACTCAGTGATCGAGAGGCTCTTGGACCCTGATGTGAGACAGGCCTACCAAAACCACCTACCATAGACGACCCTTAATGGATGGTACTGTCCGGAACCCTGCACGGTGCTGTACACGAATAGGTGAAACCTGTTGGACCTATGCACTCGATCCCCATCACTGCTCGAAGCAAATACAAGTATTCTCCCTGGTACGACGAAATGTCATAATTCAAATGGAAAAGAGCACATGCGCGGATCAAAAGGTTTAATGGATCCAAAAAGCTGGGGACACGGAGCAGGCGAGAAACCCCGGGAATGTGCGTGAACTATCTCAGCTGATAAACGCGACAGGTTTAAAAGGTTCACTAGTGAATGAAACAACCAATAAAAACGACTCGCCTGGTACGGAGAAGAACGCCAAAGCCATTGGGTAGGACAATTTCAACAATTCAACTCGCTATCCGCAGCTGTTCAGCCGGATTCCGGACCCGTAACGCAGCTCTGGACAGTGAACTTGGAAACCCCAGCGACTTCTGCCTTCTGGCCGTCGTTCGTCACCGATTTGCTGGTTCAGAAAAACTCCCGTAGGCTATCTCCTTTGTCAGTGTTTGTCTAACTTATTAGCCCCTAACTTGGTGGAAGAGACCGTTCCTGATAACTGGGACGAGGCAATAGCGGTGACTATTTCCAGAAATGATGGTCGCATTGAGTGTGACAGTGGCAAAGGAATTAGGTTGGCCTTCACTATAACCAGAATTTTTGTGCCACTTAGCTTCTTACTTCGTCTTACGAAGCGAGGAACCGAGAAGCAGGAGCCCGACCGGGAACGGGCTTTGCGGACCACATCACCACACTCCGTCAAGTGTCAGCGCAATGACATGCGTATAGGGGCCCTAAAATCTTAGCTTTTCTTGAATTCAATAGTGTTTCTGATTCCGCTAACCGGTTCGGTTTTCCACACGTTTGCGCAACGGAGGATGCCCAACAAGTTTGTGAATATCACACCCTCTGTATTCACATACTTTTTGGCGCATGAGCGTATGGGTAACTCTCCAAAAGCCTTCCTACAAGCAGTGGTGTCCACACTGTCTAGTTCTGTTTGATTTTGTCATCGATAGAACTACGGGGCGACCTCCGGGAGACCTCAAAGACTCCGTGCTCAGACCTCTTCGATCTAGAACCTTGTCGGTTTGAAATATGCACACAAAGTTGCTAACTTCTAAAAAAGAGCAAGCAACACCAGGAAAGTTGAAGGGGGTCATTCAGTCCTTCGGCATTTGCTTCATAACCAATAAGTGCAAAGTCATGCTGCAGAATGTACAGTCTTCGTACATGCTTCCGAGAATTCAAGGAGTGACAGTGGGGGGCTGGAACGCTAGACGTATCTCGGGAGTTGCACTAGCTCTGAAGGTAGTGTTACAGATGAAGTGAACGCGTAAATTTCAAAGGACCGGATTGCTTTTGCAACCTGCGGTATCAGAAGGACATCACTCGGTCTCAAAGGACGCGAATATCGGACTAAAGTGTGGCCTGTAGTGGCCATTTTCGATGGAAAATCTGCGACATCTTCACGTGTCTGACCCCCGATGTCTCAGAACTATAGCTGGAGTCCGCAATGGGATGATCAAGAAAGGGACGAGTTTTTGGTGAGACAGACTAATTCACTCGAGGAATGCACCTAGCACTGCAAGCCATTGTGGGAAGAAGTAGCAAACTCAGCTTGGAGTTGAGATGAGTGGAAAGCCCGAGTGTAGAACATATCTTGCAGTACAACATCAGTCGTCCACGGCTTCTGTGAGATGTGGAAGGACCGGCATCTCGATTATGATACTTATCCGAAGTAAGGTGATAAAGCGATTGTGGTCAACTTCTACATAAGCGCTATTCCTAGACATCCGCACCAGATATCAAGGAAGAATTCGTCTAGGAAGAGGATACATAAATCATATGTTTACATGATCCAAACATCAGCAGCCACAGTTGTCTGATTCGCATACTTTCCTGATGCCCTTGAATCTGTTGAATGAGAATTGACTGTGGACTGCTGGCAGAATATACTCCGGTCAACCTTATCTGGAAGTGGACACCGGAATTTGACAAAGATGTTCACGATCCCTGGCGCTGTTCAATTCTGCCGTTGATGGGATCATGCATACTGGGCGTCCGAATGATCCTGGAATCGGGTATACGGACACGGTGGTGTTGAACAGCAACTGCCACTGCAATCAAATCGATAGGCTCACACTACAACTCAACATCGCCAAGACAAAACATGTCGCCATGCGCGGAACTGAATTGTCAGTCAGTGAAGAGTTGATTGAACACGTGCCCATGTTAAACTGTCTCGACTACGTTATGCTTTCTAACGACCAGGAATTCACCACACCGGCCAGGCAAGAGCTGTTTTCTTTCAACTACTGGTAACTAATTATTCACCGAATAGAGTGGAAGGATGTGCAATAAGCAAATCTATCTGAACAGAGTTTGTGGGATATCGGAAAGTTGATAGCAGGACTTTCCAAGACCGAAATGGAATTGGTGATTACGATGGGTCATTGGACTTTCAGATTTCCACTCATCACGCTTAGGAGGAAATTAAAACCAGGTTACCCCATATTACAAGTGATAGAGCTTAGTTACTATGACCGAACTAGTTATCTGTTGAGTACAAATCAACTGACATCACGCTATGCTGAGGGTTTTTGGAATAAAGTGTTCGGATCAAATGCACGCCCGTAGTCAAGATCCATGAGAAACACAGTTCTGCAAAGTCTTCCGGGAAGCTGTTCTAATTTTCAAACTTTACTGCCTGGGAATCCATGATAAATGTTACACAAAACACCACACATCAACTGCCCTCATTAGCTAAAATTGAAGAAAAATTGTTTTGATTCAAGTTTGAAGTAACTGGTACATGGAACCCCTGGATGTTAGGAGGTAGCAAGCAAGTGTGCAAGATAACAAATTCAGCTGGTACTCGTGGACAACAAAATCTTCGCCGGATTTGGGATGAACGTCCAGGATTATCCCGATTCAACATGTCTGTTTGATTGATAAGCGTCCAGGGATGGGATGTCCACCAACTGCACATGCCGCTAGGGCGAAGTCAGCTGGTCGAAACACACAAAGTCCCCTTCGCTTGAAAGCTCACTAATGATCTCCGAGAAATCGCCACAAGAGTTAGAGCTACGCGACCGGTATTATTTGAGGACATCGGAAACTAATTTAAACCTATTGTAACGGTCACTGGTTTTACAGTAGAGAGAATGGGGAATGACTTGCTTTACCGAATATTAGTTCGTGATTGGCGGAGAACGCTACGATAGAGTTGTGAGTGGAGTGGAACACACTCTGAAGGGTGTATCCTGGTGAGGCGTACCGTAATTCCGACAGTATGACAAATGGTTGTACTTGAAACGAAACAAAAATCACCTCTGGCTATTGCAGGGGAGTGCTGAATGGAAGTCACATCAATTCCCCTCTAAAAACAGCGGGATGAAATGTCATTCGTGGGAACTCCGGGAGCCCACCCAAAAGGATTACGAAACACAACGAAATTAGGTGAAAAATAGTGGCGTTTCAAAAAAGTTATCAACATTAGATTCCTAGGTGACCTGATAGAACCTTTACTGCATAACGCATTGCCGGTTATTCCGTCACTTGACAAAATAATAAATTACATAAACGGCTGCAAGGCAAGTAAGAGAACGGGCACAAAAACATTGGTTCATTACACTGTTATTGAAGTGTGCCTTGGTGATTGATGAGTTCAGTACAGTACAAAGTGTGCTTCGTTGGGAAAACGAATTACACAGTGTGTGCGGGAATGAGCTTGAGGGCAGCATCTGTGGTAGATCTGGCAGGGATGAAAGTGTTCATTCGCGTAAGGCGGCCAACCTAAACAGATGGAGAAAAATGTGAGATGACGGTGGTGGGCAAGTGTGGTAGTTGGTTTGAAGGCATAGTAGTCAGATGAAACACTTCCATTGAAAAACTAGCGATAAGCCTAAAAAGGAACCACATTATGTAAGGATCGGTTGACTATTCTTGAAAAGCCTGGAAGTCGCCTCTTAGAGGTTGTCGCTTGACATACTGGTTGAGCTTGGGTGTTGAGATGCTCACACAGACTGCACTGACCAGTAACCTCGTTTCTCAAGGTGCAACCTTGCCAAGTGGAAAAAAGTGGACAAAGAACTGAACCATCTCCTAAGAATAGTCGTAGTATGAAGCTATTTGGGTAGGTGTGTGAATGTAAAAAACGGCTTCCTGGAGACTAGCAAAACCATATGATAAGGACGACACTACCTCCCTCTATGAAGTACAAGTTGGAAACATCGACGCACTACACAGATCGACTGGCCATCATCACTGGTGGGTTACCCGACAGTGTCAGAAGACGGCTCAAAACGTACGTATTGTGCGCAGCAGCACCACAAGTCAGATATATGCTTCACTTTGGCTAGATCAGTCTTCCGCAGCCAACCATTGGTTCGGGGGGGGGTCTCTAAAAAAGAACCGCCGCTTGCTGTCTTACAAGCCATTCGGTTGAGATGAATGCCACGAAAAGGCCGTAGAACAAAATCCTTCTGTTTTCGCATTGCCTTGTGTGTGGGATTTTGGAGTCAAGTCCCACGGTGGGGTATCTTAGGCAAACCTTTTTCTTCAGTCTCGGCATCCGACCGCAGCTCAGAATCTGAAGAAGATTGGCTTTATCGGGATCAGTCAAGACCGTTTGGCTGGCCAAGAACGACAATCAGTCCAGAGAATCGTAACTGATATTCAAGGCACGGATAACAAAGATGGACCGTTTAGAAGCCACCGAAAGCAAAGTAGTCACGGACTCTGCCGACCACCGCAAACCAGGGCAACAGAGTGCTCCTGTCGATGTATGCTGCTGAGATTTTAATGAATTTAATAAGAAACAGTGTCTACACTTTCTTACAACATTTTTCAATTTGACTGCTTGGGGCTTCCACATCAGACGAGTTACGTTTGTCAGGAATCAGATCAACGGAAGGTCAACATCACATATGCCTAAATACACATGTTTCTACGACACAATGGAAGTATCAGGTATTGTATGAAAACTATCTCGTCGGTCCATTTTGCATTCGGATACAGATCACAATATCTTAGTTCTATCTCCTATGTTATACACCGAATGTTGATTTCTCCTGTGAACCAATTGCGATCACTAGTTATTTTTTCCTGTTCTAACTACTCATGAGTAGCGTGCTTTACGCCAGCTTATTATAACTTCGTTTCATTTCTTTGCTGCTCGTTTCACCGGGTTTTCATCCTGCTTTAAGTTTGCTTGTTTTCTACTAACTGATATCAAGATTATATTGCCTTTCCAGCTTCTCTTGAAACTTCGTGTCAGATCTGCCAGTTTTCGAGTGCCTGCTCTGACGAAAAAACGGACTGATAGGGGGTCTGACTCGGAGCTCCTCGGATGGTAGGCGAGCGCGTTATCCGCTACACCAAGTGGATATCCCATGATGGAGTAACACGAAGTCAACATATCGAATTTAATTGCTCTCTCCGGCCACCGTGGGTGAATGTAGTTAGGTAAGCGGGATTAAAATAAAACAAGGAAGAAGAGCCCAACTGACAACTGCCACCACGAGGGCTTTATTCGATTGGTTGAAAGGACACGCACGCGTTTGCGAATTGAGGTTGAAATCAACATCCTACGCATCCGGTTGATCTGAGTAGACAGATGGCATGGATGGAATACCTTTTGAACTGGTGCGCGTAGGTTGCGGATGAATCATGAAGCTGCCCTATAGAATTTTTATCAGAAACTCGCCCATTGAATAAACTAGCAGAATGTTGAGTGGATAGTCTCCAGTACAGCTCAGATTACAGGTGCACGTAATTCGTCGCACCACGATAAGGCCCAGCCTCTTCAAGACGGCGACGACCGGGAAACCAGTCTGATACGAGAGGCTTTGTGGGTGCAATCAGTCGTGACAGGGAAACAGGTTATCTCGAAGATCATTCTTGTTTGGGGGGCTAGTTTACTTGACGTACGGTTGACCGCTTTCTATTTTCTTTTTGAGGCATTCCCATTGTCTCCGCATTTTAAAGGCACAATGAAGAATTACTCGCTCACATGAATGTTTCCAAATTCATCAGTTATATCGGAAAATCCCTGAAGGTAATACATACTCAGTAACCGAACATCAAAAACTACGTGTACGTATTTGTCATACATAATACCGAGCTGCTCAGGCCTAGACAGGAGCAGTCGAGACGCCGTAGACAGGAGAACGATTGGGGTCCTCAATCAAAGCTTCTGTCTCAAAAGACGAACCGGAAGGGAGCATTTGTCACAGTAAGGCAAATGGAAACCAAATGTCAAGAAATAAGCGATATTCGGCGGGATGGCTCAGTGGTTAGAGCGCGAATTTACTGACCGGAAGGTCCGTGGTTCGAATCCGACCTCTACCTCTCGACTTCCCCTGTCCAGGCTTGGGCAACCTGGAAGTATCCCAGACCTCGTGTTTCCTTCGGGTGGCATGGCAGCTAGGCACCGAAAAGGGTACTACAGCTGATCGATTATTTTTTATTTATTATATTCGGCGTTTCTGACTTGGGAATCTTCTGTGGGAGTTCGAAAGGGTGTTAATACTTACGATCAAAGTTACTAGATTATGACGACCGCGAAATAGTATTCGTTCGGCAATTCAGTATTCCCTGGAAGACCTGAACCAGAGGAGCAGAACACGCGACTGAGAAACATTGTATTGTGCCTAATGCGTAAAGTAGAAACCATCGTGCGTTGGTATTAAGAGGTAGGTATGTATCACGTACAGTACCTTTGGTTTTTTACGGTGGAGACATATCAGAAATGCACGTCACAAGGGCTCACAAACTAAGAGCCAGGAGAACGCGTGACGCTGTAATATCATTTCGACAGTAAGACACGGAAGATGTCATATGATCTAAAGATGCAGAGCGCGAGGGGGAAATCATGTGAAAAACAAACTGCTGATGAGCAACTGAACAGCTAGTAGTGGTACGCAGTTTTCAGCTTTTATGTGACACCACAAAGAATTGATTTTTTATCAGCCGCATCCGGAGACCGGAGGCGATTTTCTATAGATAACTAGCACAGCGTACAAGACATCCGATTAACTTTGAACAATGAACCCAACGCTGAAAGATTCTCAGTTTGCAATACTAGATGCATGCGCTAAGAGCTACATGTATGCATTTAGAGCAAGATCACCCGTACAGACTAATCGCTTAACCGGAAACCAGTGAACCGATCGTACATAGTGTGTGATTATTGTACACAAAAAATCATACAAAATCGAAGTGACCAACTGCCATTCCCATGAATGAACTTGGCCCGTTCGAAGTTATCAGCCTTTCGTCCCGGTAGCCATCAGTTTCGATTGCATCCAAGGTGATGGATTTTCTCATGGGGTTGATAACAAGCATATAGTAGATTGTTTGGTGCCAAAATGGTGTAACAAATAGATACGCAGCCCAGAAGAAAGTATAAACTGTGAGATATTTCCAAGTTCTCAAAATTTAGACACGAGTGATGCATTCGAACTGCGGAATCCCTTCTCAAGGGCTATTATCGTCAGTCTCTGAGCTCTATAGAGCTGAATAATCAATATGATCGAATCACTAATAGACTGGAAGGGCGTTACCTAAGTTCTCATTGGTGGATCGCAATCATCAAGATGTCTACTTGGTTGGCCTATTTGAGCCGGGCTACTTGCGGAATCTGAAGATAACTTTATTCATTCACTCAGTTTACCTAACCAGATTAACCTAGTATTTCCACTGACTAGTGACTGTCACCAAGAGAATGGGACTTACCACACAATTACATATGACCTAATGTCAAATCGCCTTTACCTGGGCGAAAAAGACGGTCTCCACAAAATAGGGTGAGTTGATAGTGCTACTCACCGTGAGTTTGACAAGCACAGAATGATAATCTTGATCCCCGTTATAACTACAATTTTTGCGTCACTTATTTTATGTGAGGTTTGTAAAGACGGAAACCAAGAACAGCACGTAGGATTCCAGAAGACAGGGGGTTATGTGGGCATCTACACATTCTACCAAGTGTTAGAGCAACGGCGTGCGTATAGGCACCTCACAATCTTGGAGTGAATTCGATTCTGCTAACCCGTTCGTTCTTTTCCACACTCTCACGCAATAGGCTATGCCCCACAAGTTCGTGAAGATCATATGCTCTTTCTATTCACATATTTGTGGGCGGGTGAGAGTGTATGGGGAGCTTTCCCACTCAACCCTGCACTGACGATGTCACCTCGATGGGTGATGAAACGTTTGCAATCCAACTGCCAAGCTCGGCGAACAGACCAACAACCAAGCTTTCTAAAAGTTTTCCTACAAAAAGTGGTGTCCGAGAAGGGTATCCTTTTTCCTCACTTCTGTTGGACTTTATTAATGGAATGATAGAGTGAACTCTGGAAGGTCTCTTACAAACTCCTTGTTCAGAGCTCTCCAACAGAAAACCCTGTCGGTCTGGTATATGCAGGAAGTGCAAGTAATATTAGAAAAGCTAACCGAGTTTACCCAGTCCTTCAGTATGTGCTTCAAACCCACAAAGTGCAGTCATGATACAGAACATTCAGCCACATGCATGTGAGGACTGAGATGACGCTGGAAGATGTGCAATACTTTCGGGAGTCGTATTAGCTCTGACGTTAGTGTGATAGACGAAGTCAACGCGAGAAACTCAGAAGTCAGAGTAGCGTTTGCCTATTGGAGCCACATGCGTACACAGGATGGCATATCGCCCGGCTGTAAGGTTGTCGAGAGACATGACCACTTTGGCCGGAGGATCTCGGACACCTTCAGGTTTCTGACGATCAATGTCTTATAACTATGGCTGTAATTCGTTGGAACCAGTGAATTCGGAATGAGGCGATCAGGAAACAGGTCTTTAATGAGACAGACGATACCCCATTCACAGTGTATCCAGGATTTCAGGCAAACATGGCAAGCCTAGTAAAGCGTGGTTTTCCGTGCCCAATTAGGAGTGCTTGCAACCTGGAGGTGGATAAGATTTGACATAGCAGAGAGGAATGAAGAAGAATGTTAAGAACAGTTTTGGTGACGTTGGTGCTGTTCGCCTTCCAGGATCGGGCCTGCGCCTGGTTGGAGACAATGAACGATATGGCTGCTGACCGATGTCGATGGCATCCATTCTGTCACTTTCTATCCGAATTGTCTGATTGAGCGCTGGAGGTATAGGCGCCTCGGATTTTCATCACAGGCTAGCTGTAGGTTACATTCCCTGCATCATACTTTTTTTTCCAATATAAGGCTTTCTAGTGTAAGTAACGTAACGTTCAGCTGTATCACCCTTCCGGTGCCTAGCTGCCATGCTACCTGACGGAAGCACGAAAGCTGGGATACTGCCAGGTTGCCCAAGCCTAGACAGGGAAAGTCGAGAACCACGGACCTTCCGATCAGTAAATTCGTGCTCTAACCACTTGAGCCATCTCGCTATCTTGAACTAATTTATCAGATTGTTATGATGGCCATAGCGATCAGGGTCAAGTTGACTGCCCAGTCGCCCCACAATTCAAGGAAAGTACTAGACTGAGCCACTGATAGGTTGCTGAGATCTCCACAGGAGCAAAGCAGTGGAACTGCTGACCTTTCGGTTTTGTACCCGAATCGCGGAGCCATCTCATCGACAGTTTGACCATCTGGTGAAGGCAACAAACAACTAGATATCAAAATTAAAACGAGAAATCAGCCAACTGAATGTGTCCGTGGACGAGGTATTAGGCGCAATCAGGTCCATGAATCGCCTGTTTGGGTGGATTGTGTTGATTGGAGCCTGCGAACTGAGCAGTGCTTTAAGGGACAAACCAACTAATAACTTCAGATTTATATGAGAGCAGTTCTCCGCCACTTGCTCTCAATGTCGTGTTGTGCTTAAATGGGCTTACCGCTCATCAGACGGATGCAACCTCGTAGTTTTGTCAAGAGACCGCATCGTACAGTGGTGTGAAGGTTTGTGTGCCTTCGTGACTCATTGAATTATACTGGGCAATGTTTACGTGCGACACTCAGTCTCTCATACCAGGTTGGTCAATGGTTGACGATTTAACCAACAGTCCCCTGGTCCTTCAGTCTGGGAATTGGAACAAATGCGGCAGGGGGGGGGGCGAGATGGTTCAGTGGTTAGGGTGAGAATTTAGTGACTGGAAGGTTCGTCGTTTAAACCCGACCTCTGCCTCTCTCCCGTATCTAAGTTTGGGCAACCTGGCAGTATCCCAGCCCTCGTGGTTCCTTCTGATGGGATGACAATTGGGCACCGAAAGGGCGTTACAGCTAGAGGATTATTTATTAATTATTTATCTCCATAAAAAGGCACTGCCTTGGCATTTACTTCCAAACACCTCTGTCTTGGGGTCAGACTTTTGAGTTTAAGGCTCTGGTCAAGGGCACTAAACGTCTAGGTCTGAGCACCCTGATAGTGTTGTTCTCCGTGAACTCTTCAAGATGGTGCGAGGTGGGGAACGTATGGAGGGTGGGTGCCAGAAGGGGGTGCAAGATATTGCGAAAAGTTTGGGTGTTGTTGGTGCCGTGCGCCTTCCACAAGGGGGCCATTGTAACCGCTGTTGCGCTTGACTGGAGACGTAGCAAGAAATAGTACCTAAACAATGTCGGCGGCGTTCGTGCTGTGAGTTTTTCTTCCTGAGCCTGATTGAGCGCTTATGATAGGCCATCACCAGGTCTCCTCAGTCACCAACAATTTTTTCTTCTTTTCACTTTAAGACTTCAAATGTAAATAGATAAACATTGAGGTTGTACGTGAGTGAGGCATCAGTGTCCATGCCGATTTTGCTTCCCTGATAACGATGATGATTCCGATAGTTGGATCGGATCTGCAAAATTTTGCCGAAATGTTTGCCCCACGGGAAAGATCCTTATTGGGAATGTTTGATTCCTAAAAAAGGAAATGTACGTCAAGTCTGTCGTCACAGAGGCCCACTGTAAATTCAAGCGACAAATCCAAAATGATGTACGAATGTTCAGCCATGTCCTGAAAAGAGCGCCGATCAGCCAGTCGTCGATCGGACAGCCTGGATACGAGGTCAAAGATGAGCGTTGAATGTTACGATGATTTCTGTGGTTTCTGCAGTTGTGAGTTCATAGTAAAGTTCTTCTCTGACACTCAAGTCATCATCACAAAATTATTAGAACTCAGATTGTGGTTAGTTACAGTAATTACTCAGGGATCCCAGAACGCATTGTTAGTTCTTCAGGTTCACAAAAGATCTCAATAAGAGGAGATTAGAAGTGCGAGAAAATTTTCGCTTACGGTGGAAGGACAGATGGAGTTTGAAGAATGGGTACGTACCTGCGACTGAGCGCATCCTCATCGGCCTGTCTGGCCTGCTCGTCAGTCACACTGCCAGAGGGAACTTGAACCTTATCGAGGGCTGCGCCGACCTCCAAGCCGCTCTCAGCAGCCACCTAAGATAACAACGGACACATTGCAAAAATGCGAGATAAAGACAAATAGCTGAAAATCCTAAAAACATAACTTCGTCGTGGATAAACCGTCCCACATATTTGTATCATGACATGCATATGCCGTCCTCCCCCCCCCCCCAAAAAAAAACACACAAAAA